TAGAGAGGTGAGCAGAGTAAGCTTGATTCCCCGTTTGGACTTCTCTGTTGACATCCACCCCTTGGCGCTCATATGACCTTATGTAGTTGCGAGCGCCGTAAAACCTTACTAAAACTTTAAAAAAGCCGAACCACAATGTTTTGTTAATGTTTCGCTGCTTGTTCAAGTAAAGTGCTCACATTCTGTGCTTTTTCATTGGGGTTGAGTGCTATAGAAATGTTATATATCGTTATTATCTTTTTTTTTCAGCATCTTCCGGAAGCCATATTTTATTGGGAAGTTTCTCGCTGCTTTGCTGAAACCTAGACTGGTAGGTTAAAGAGTTTTGACTTTCACGAGACCAAGTATTTAACGGCATACTTCTGTGAGGGGGGTTGGAGGGTGCTTGCCATGGGTGCGTCCTCTTTCTTTTCTTTTCCTTCGTAGTTTCTGCTTGTCTTTCAGGCTGTTTCTCTTGGTGACTTGTTGTGTGGACAGATTTCTGTCAGGGAAACACTTGGGCCTACAGCTGCTTCAAAGTGGGTGGTCGGAGGGTGCCACAGGGAGGGGCTTACTTCTTTCTCGACTTCTTTTGTTTCTGTTTGTCCTACTGTTTCTCTGCACTAGACGAGGGTTGTTGTGTCCGTGTACTGGTACTTCTTTTTCCTCAATCAATAGGTACTTATATCATTTGAGCTCATTGTTGGATCTGATCAAGAAATCGAATTATCGTCTTTTCTGATTGTCTCATTAAATCTTCTTATCTTACTGTCTTAACGAATTGGAATTGAACAGTTCTGTCTTTGTGACAGGAAGTCTGTGGTTTTTGGACACAGATGGGCCATCTCCCAGGGAGCTTATTTTACAGGACGGGCTAACTGTATTGTATCAAAGTGTCAAAGACCACGTTAACTCAGACTTCATGACAATGCTTATTGCAGTTTTGTTCTTTTATCATCTACCTTTTTGACCCTGCTCTACAACATAGTCCCTGAGTCAGGTTTGAATAAGAAGGATAATAGATAACATTGGTACAGCACAAATCCCCGCTCAACAGCAAGCTCTAGGCGCTTCACAATCTATACTGTTACCCCAGCAGACCTGAGAGCATTCTGAAACAACCTCAACTTCCTGGGAAGCATACAACTGACAACTTGAGACAATTCTACAGTCAGTCCATTTGTGCTGGAAGCTATCAATGGGAATTTGTCAAGTCTTTTGCTCTGGATCTTTTCTAGTTTTTTTTTCAACCTAGTACTGCTCAGTTGCCACAGAGTTTGAATCCTGCATGAAAGCAGAACGTGTGTATCTGATTGTCTTTTATCGTTTTATCTGATTGTCTTTTATCGTTTTATCTGATTGTCTTTTATCGTTGTATTTGATTGTCTTTTATCGTTGTATCTGATTGTCTTTTATCGTTTTATCTGATTGTCTTTTATCGTTGTATCGGATTGTCTTTTATCGTTGTATCTGATTGTCTTTTTAATCATCTGATCTGAATGACTTATATCATTTTAGCTAATTGTTAGATCTGATCAAGAAATCTAATTGTCTTATTTAT